CCTGAGAAAGTTAATAGACGTTTCCCAGCTTCCTTGTCCTCACCCCAGCTTTCCATTTGATTGTGACGGTGTTGGTCTTTTTGAAAAGCTTCTCAGTTGGCTCTGATTGTCAAAACAACTCATCTCTACAGGATTATGGAGTGACTCCCTACTGATGCATGCATATGTTCTGTTGATTAGACTGACTGATGTTGATTCGGTTTCACATTTTGCAGCTCTTAAAAAGCAGAGCTTGCGAGGGACATTTCTCTACAAATTCATGACTGAATAGATTAGCACTCATCCATTTGCCAGGACAACCCTTGGATGAGATTCAAACCCATTATTCTCGGATTTCAAAAACGTGAGCCCTATGTGGGTTGAATATGATGTGGTGAATACTGGATGTTAAAATTAATGTTCTTTCAGGGGCAGCTCTATCCTGCCCTGTAGGTTTGCTGAGTCAGCATTGACTTGATGGCAGTGGAAGTGATCCCTCGGGGCATGATTGACAGTGTTCTCTAACATAAAATGACTACGTCGTCTCTAAGGTGAACCAGAGATAAGTGTAAATCATAGGTGCGTGAATGTATATTGGGTTTGCACTTAACGCTAGCCCTAATCTAGGAACAATTATTTTTTATGACATGGCCCTGACTGATGCTCATCTGCATGAAGAGATTGCTGAAGATGAGTGCTATAGCAAAGTGTGATGAAGAAACTAGATGGTGCCTGGCTACAGGCTTATTTTCAAACAAGCAGCCATCAAAGTGAGGTGGCAGTTAACTCCACACAGAAGAAGTGCTCCGGCCTGTGTGATCCATGGATTGTAAATAATTTAATCTGAAGAAGGGAATGGCTTCAGAGCTTAAATTTTGAACACCTGGTTTTCAGAAGACTGTGGATGACAGTGGAAGCCCAAAATCCATTGGCAGGGTCCACACACAGATTAAGCCGCTGTTGATTCTCCTCCAATCATGGTTGAGGGATGTAAGTTAATGGTCTTGTTTTCAGACAGAGCATTGTAAAGTAGACGGTGATAGGTGTAGTTAGGTCAAAATGTAATATTTTCTCATTTGATCTTCCTTTTGACCCATTATAAAATTGTTACAATTAGGAAAAAGTAAAGGGGAAATACATGTGGATTAACCCGTTCATCCCCTCTGACCATGGATCAGGGATGTGCATAGCCTTGCTATCGTGCAGAGTGCACTGGGAAGTTAGGTTGCAGCTAGGTGCAAATTTTGCACGCTATCATGAGACAGACTAGCAAAAGAAACTCCATTTTTGTTCGCTGCTGAGTAACTGGCCCCTTCTTCCCTCCCGTCTCAGAAAGCTGACTGCTGGTTGACCTGCCCGTTCTCCCTCCCCTTGTGGGAACGTCTCTGCCGGTGATTCATTTTAGAATGTACTCCCATGTGCCCAGGTTCTGGCCACTGTGATTCGTTTTGACTATTCTTCATTATGTCATTTGTTCTGATTCAGTATTGTTCCCTTTGATGTTGTAACCTGAATGGTGTAGTTAATCTTGTCCTGATAGCCAGATGTAACAGTAGGATCTGTTATGGTAACCAGGATGCTCTAATCATCAGTGTTGGTATTGTTTGTATTATGATAAGGGATGTACCTTGTAAGGCATATTCACTCCTCTTCTTTTTATTTTTTAATTTAATAAACTTTATTCTTGTCAGGGGAAGAGGGAGGGGAAAAAGCCACCGACTCCACTCCTCCTAATAAATTAAATAGCACACGGCCAATTCCCGGGCCCCAAGCAACCTTGGGCACTTGAGCCAGTCCCGCTGTCTGTGCAGCCCAGTCGGCTTCCCCTT